CAAGATTCTCTATTTCTCTTCTTATTTTATTTTCTTGTATGGGTTGTAAAGGTTTTACGTTTTGGTGATGTATTACCATGAAACCCCAAAATTTTAAGGAACCGTGAGATTTATTATGGACCAAGATCATATTCATCATCAGCCTTCATTTATATTCAAAATACTGAGCAGACCCCATTGTGAAAATGAATAGTGGTGATGATGCCAAAGGAGTTGTATGAATTCATAAGGGAGCCAGACATGGGTCCTTGAAACCTCCTCACATAAGGGAGCCAGACATGGGTCCTTGAAACCTCCTCACATAACATCCCCTGTGGACCATACTTTAAATGCTAAGAAATTATCATTTCACATTTGACTATAGGCGGAGAGACAGGACTCTGTGGGAAGACCGAGTGAGCCCGAATGTTCTTTATTCCATGCATCATCTCCGAAATGACAAGTCAACATTAGTCGTGGGTGGAATAGATGGGGTCTTGAGAGTGGTGGACCAGGATTCTGGGGAGGTAATGTCTCTGCATATTATGGGAGAAGAAAGAAGCCATGCATCATCTGGCTCTTCTGGAAGAAATGTGATTGTCAGGAAAGTGAAAAAACTTTCCCCTGGTGAGCGCATCGATCTTCTGTCCAAAGCTTGTAGACCGAAAATCACATGCTTGGCTGTTGGAATGCAGAAGGTTGTGACTGCACATAATGATAACTACATCAATGTTTGGAAATTCAAGTAGTGGTTAAATTTTTGACGATTTATTCTTGGGGCTTTCAGTGAGGTGTTCTTGTGTTCCTTTGGTTATAAGATAACCTCCTTACGATAATGCGAGATTACATAAATACTTTATTTGGTAAAATTACGTTGTTGTTTGAGTTCATATTGTGGGAATATAATGTTATTTTGGGATTATTTTTTGTTTTTGCCAAATGTTTCCAATTTCTCAATTTTAAGCCCAACTTTTCATGTTAATAAGTTTAAAGTTAAAAGTTTTCTTTTTATAGCCAAATGCATTATCCTCATTAGGAAGTACTCAAGTACCTACACAATAACACAAAGCCTTCATTTCTAACTGAAGCATCTTGTTTCAAACAATTCAGATATTCATTTCTAATCCCTTGCTCTTCTACAAGACTAAAAAAGAAACAAAACCAGGAACTGTATCTTTCAAAGACTGAATCTGAGGCTCTGAGCCACTGAAAATCTGAAATGAAATGAAATGAAATGTTCAAGTTTCTAATATAACACATGAAATCAGACGTGAACAAACCATTTAAGTCTATAGTTTTATTGTGAAGAAGTTTCTCAAAATATGTTAGAACACATGTTGAAAAGGAATCACCAGCTTAGCTATTAGGTTCCTTTCCAGCAGGTACTATATTTGTATATTATTTTAAATAGACAACATAACAGTTTTTCATAATCTATTGAAAAAAATAATTAAAATACCTCAAACTTTGAAAGGGTGTGAGGTAAACAAACCAAATTTGTATATGTAGAACTCATTTGGTAACACTGTTATTCAACTTATTAGGCTTATTAGTCATTTTTTTCACCGAACACGTAACTTTTTATTTCGCGCGCTGAAATGTACAATAATAAGAAAAAATAAGGTTAGAGTTACTTTACTTGTTGTTTCGGCTAAAGTTAGTAGAGGACCATTTTAGCTATTTTTACATATAATTTATTCTTTATTTTATTAATAAAATATATTTTAAATTTAGTTTTTCATAAATCAGCAGAATCAGCCAATACAACCACTTATTGTTACCAAACGGGCTCGTAATTTTAATATCCATTTTATTTAAAGAGTTATGTTAGCACCATGAGCATATCATTTGAAGGTCCTGGATAGGGTAAAAGTCTAGAGGAGGGGGGGGGGGGGGGGGGGGTGAATAGACTTTTAAAATCTTTTCGACCTTTACAAAGTATTCCCTCTAGAAGAGTTGATCTATAATCTTTTGAGAGATTAATAGATGCACAGCGGAAGTCTTTACCCTTTATGTAATGTGTAACAGCTTTCTATGATGGATGAAGTCTTTGCTTAATGGTGAGCAGTTGGCTAGGCAGTTGGCTAGAAAGCAGGGAACTGCTTAGTCGACTGCTTACGAAATACTTGGAGTATGATGAGGGTGCATTTAGAATCTTTCTTAGAGTGGGAAGAGCTTTCTGATGATGTACTGAGGTGGATTGATAATCAACCTTCAATTAGAGCAGTTGTCTCAGCAGTTGGGTGGAAACCAGGGAACTGCTGAGGCACCTGCTGAAGTAAAGGTGAAGGAATGGAAGGTTTGATTATATGGTGTTGCTCAGGATGATGTGTGCTTTCTGAAGATGTGCTTTGGGCCAAGTAAGTAGAGAGGGTTTTACTTAGGCAGTGGTCTTAGGCAGTTGGGTGATAGTGAGGGAACTGTTGAGAAATCTGCTGGGTTATCACCCTGAATCACAGAGATTATTTTGAACAGACTTCTTAGAGATAAAGCTGTAAAGGTCTAGTGATGTCAAGATGTTCACATGAAATACTTTTGTGTGAGCAGTGGGCTCAACAGTTGAGTAGTCCTTAGGAGACTGTTGAGGCAACTGCCATGCCGTAAGTAGTATTTCCTGAAATCTTAATGAAACAGACCTTTTTGTTATGATATTGTGAAGCTCTTGTATCTCAAAGAGAGTGAGTAATTAAGTAGTAGGATAAGCAGTTTGGTCAATTAAGACAACTGCTTAGGATGCTGCTGGCAAACTCCAATCTTTATGTGAGAAGTGTTCAGTGTGTGCTTTGTTGACTGAAAGTGAATCAACACACAATATATCCTGGTTCAGAGGTGGTGTAATCCTCCTACATCCAGTCCCATCCTATTTCAAATGGATTTCACTAATGTATTAAGCTCAATACACTTAGTGCCAATCTAGCCTTGACAACTCTGGTCTAGATTGAAGGTGTTTCACGAGGAGTACAATACCACTCCAAGCTACTCAATCCTTTAGGTTTTTCTCAATTGATCCAGTGGGGATCAAAAGGTACTCCTTACCTATCTAACCACACTCAGGCCGGGAACAACTGTCCTCCTGAAGTGTTTTACAACACCTTGTGAACTACAAGGAAATTCTGGTCTCCAACTATAAAATAAGCTCTAAAAATATGAAGATGATGATCTAGTCTAAGAGCTTAGTGAAGCATGAGTCAAAGCAGAGTTGCTAGATATTCTTTGAATGCTTTTGGAATCTCTGCTTTGAACTCAAAAACTTATTTTCGAACTCATGCTTCGGCCTTCATTTATAGGCATCTCCGGTAGATTAATCTCATCCGTTGGTTGAGATGATTTAATCTTGTTCGTTGAATCTTGATCGCAGAGGATAAACAACTTGTTGTTTATCTTCTTCTTTGGAGCCGATAAAACTTTTTGTCTCTTTCTGCCTAGCTGCTGCAGTTCTCCTGCGTTTATCCAACTAGACTGTGCTTCCCATGCTTTGTACGTTCTTTGCACCCATGCTGGATATTTGATTGGCTCTGGATTAAACACGAGGCAATGTGTTCGAACAGAATAATTTTTAGGTCTAATAAAATTATACTGGTAGGATTTAAATATCCTATTAAAGGTAAATAAGTTTACCTTATTGCATTTTTATTGTCCAGTAATAATTTTATTAGTACTTAAAAATTGTACATTTATTTGTTCTCATTTCGACACATTTTTTTTTCTTTTCTCACACCAATATGCCTTTTAAAATGTTTGTAATTAAATAAATATATATCGGTAGGATTTAAATATCTTTTTTAAGGTAGAAATTACCTTATTGCATTTTCTCTTTTCCGGTATAATTTATTTGATACATACATTTTTCTTTTGACTTCCGGTCACACTTGGTTGTGATTGGCCCAGCTAGTATTTTGAACTTAAACCATTAATTAAACTGGTAGGATAGAAAGTCCTATTAAGGTAAAGATTAATACCTTATTGCATTTTGTGTTCCAGTCTAATTAATTTGTTTGTTCAAAATCTTTTAGTGCTTTTTATGTAACAAAATAAATTTAACTGGTTGGATCCGTTTAAGGTAAAAGAATATTACCTTATTGCATCTTTTTTCTTTTCCAGTTATTTTTATTTTGTTTATTAGCATTTTGGACAAGACACTTTTGAACAAGACTTTACAAAAGATGAATCTACCAGAGAGCAAAATACAAATATTTGAATGCTACAAAAGATGGGGATGGCATCATCAAAATCGTTATATCAAAATCTAGGGTCTAACATCATTTTCAACATAGATTTTATGACCATAAGTTTTAAATTCATATATGATCATGATGCTAAAACAACTTTTAATGTAAAGTTTGAGGTATTTAAATTACACGTGAAAGTTTAGAATATATATCTCACACCACTTCAAAATTGGGGGTATTTGAATTGTTTTTCCCTAATTAAGTTTTGTGTCTCAATTCACTATTTTCTGTATGAGTAACTACTACTAAAGTAGAGGAAAAAACAAAGTAACACCAAAAGCATAAATAGAGAATGAAGTGGTAAGAAGATTACTCTAGAAGGAGAGAAACAAAATATCTTCATATTCAACTTCATCTAACACTACATTTCTAGTTAAGCCACCAAATACGATTAATTGTGCATATATAGTTATAAATATGAGTATGGCTCTTAATCTTAAAATCAATATTAATATTAAAATCAAAATATAGATATTGTATAAATGTGATATAGAGTTTTCATTAATATGATGCAATTATTTTTCCTTGATATTCTTTTCTTTTAATATCATATTCTTTTAAGTTTTAAGTTTTAAACTCATATTCAAGTGGGTCGGTTATGCTGGGCTCATTGTCCTCACATCTATCTACGATCATTAATGGATGGATTGATTGTATGTGACGAATCAGGAGATGGATGAGGGTGGGCCTTCACTTGACTCAAACCCGATCCATTGCCATTCTTACAATGAGCCCAGCAAAATCACACACCCAATAATTAAGCTTGCCTGCCTGATCCAGTCCAGCCGTTCTCCCCAAATTCCGAAATCAGATTCCGAATTAGGGCAAAAGATTGTAAACAAAAATGTTCATCGGATCCTAACCAGAAAGGCTTATCCGAAACCAGAGCGATGGTGTGCATTCGCAAGGCGACGATCGATGATCTACTGGCAATGCAGGCGTGCAATCTGATGTGTTTGCCGGAGAACTACCAGATGAAGTACTACTTCTACCACATCCTTTCATGGCCGCAGCTACTTTATGTGGCTGAGGACTACAACGGAAAAATCGTAGGCTACGTGCTTGCGAAGATGGACGAAGAGACCACCGAGTGCCATGGTCACATTACCTCCCTCGCGGTCCTTCGCACCCACAGAAAACTCGGCATTGCCACCAAGCTTATGACTGCTGCTCAGAACGCAATGGAACAGGTCCGGCACCACCTTAAATTTGGAAAATTTCTCTCTTTCTCCTTTGTGGAATTACTATTTCTGTCTCATCGCTTGATTGCCTCTTTTTCGATTGCTATAAATCTATAATATACTTGTGTGTAGATGAAAAAGGTAATTAATTAGTACAATTGCTTTAATTTACTTGCGTGTCTGTGAAAAAGGTAATAAACTACTCCGTATTACCGTAAATTCGTAATTGTATTTAATGTAGAGGCTTTAGAGCAATTGCAATTTGCGATATACGGTTGGAGAAGATTGTTTACTGTCCTGTTTAAATGGTCTGTGGTAGAGTATACTCAAATTGTGAATATAGGGCTGTTTTTAACTGTTAGGAGTGCAAGTGATTTACGTAAGGCTTACACCTGTAGACAACACAGGGAGGCTTAAGCCTCGAGGCGTTTTTAGCTCCACTTCTGGTTGAGGCGTGCCTCGAGCCACAATAGCCCTTTAAAACCACGGTATGAGCCAATCACATGCTCTACAAGGAATAACTTGTGCATTTCTGCATTAATAATGAGTGCAGATTGTATCCTGAAAAGATAACCACTGGTAAATTAGACACAAATTTGAAAATTGAAACGTGAAAGGGCATTAATTCCCTTTGGGTTTCGTGTGCTCAAAAAACTGAACAGGTGTGCTTGGGGTTTTTTCAAAAATATTATTAAAATAAAGCTTATTTACTACAATCTAGTGTCATGGTAAGTTAAGTTTAAAAGTTGAACATAAGTTACTATAATTCCATTACTGTTCTAGTCAATAGTCATATTTTTGTAAACAATATTTATTTTAGTCATAAATATGTAATTATTTCTAATATAAATGACACATTTATTGAAAAAACGTCCTTTTCTTTTCCCTCGGATGGATTACCTTGTGTGTGAGGATGCGTTTGGAACACAGGGAATGTTCTTGGGAAATTAACTGGAAGGAAAATAGTAAAAAATTGATTGTAATAGTCCCAACTATTGGCAGTTCGCTCATAATAATCCCAACTATCGATTATTTCAGAATAATCCCAACTTTAGGGACCGTCCGCCAATAATGGTCCGACGTGGCCGACTATAAATAAATTCCTATAGTTTCTAAAGAGATATAGCAGGTAATCCCTATAAATAATCCTAAATTTTAATTTTTACGCTTAATTTCTATTAAAAATTCACTTGTTGGAGCAGGTAATATGCAGTCATGGACCATTATTGGCGGACGGTCCTAATAGTTGGGATTATACAAAAATAATCAATAGTTGGGATTATTGTTAACGGACCACCAATAGTTGGGATTATTATTTTCAATTTTTCCTTCTATTTATATGTTTATTTATTTACTCAAACTATTAAATTCAACTATAGTAAAAAATTTAACGTTAATCATAAATGTTCTCCATGGCATTTGCCGAGGTGTGAAGCCATACATAAGAAAGTACCTTTTGTAGCTTTTTCCCTTTGCATTCTTGCGGGTTCCAAACATTCCCTTGGGGTGAAGACCTAACTACTAACTAGCACGTATTTTTGGAATTTTGGACAGGTATTTGGAGCAGAGTATGTATCATTGCATGTTAGGAAAGGAAACAGGGCAGCATTTAAGCTGTACACGGAGACATTAGGGTACAAGATTCATGATGTAGAAGCAAAATACTATGCAGATGGTGAAGATGCTTATGATATGAGGAAATCATTGAAAGGTAAGAAGCACAAGAATCAGCACCACCACCATCATGCCGGAGGGGGGTGTTGCTCTGGGGAAGTGAAATCAGATGGAAAGGATGGTGTGACAGAAGGGAGTGATCATTGATAGGATAGGTGTAGCTTACCGCTTTTCATTTTTCTCAGATCCCATCCTATGTGTGTCTTTCATATATATACAATACTCCAACCGTTCCTAAAAATTCTTCCCAGTTTGACTTGGCACGCTTATTAAGAAAGTGGAATAAAGTGAAAATGTATGGTTGTGATTGTGTAAGAAAAATGTAAAATGAATGTGAGCCACACAAATTGTCCAAAATGGGAAAGTGGGAAGAATTTTTGGGAACAACCCAAAAAGGAAAGTGGGAATTATTTTTGGGAACGGAGGGAGTAATAATAAGAATTAATTACATATTTATGTGCCTGCCAGGCTGCCAGTATGGCCACCCTACTTCAGCAGCTATTTGTTTTGTTGATTTACTGCCATCCCCTTGTGGCAACAGATGAACATATGAACTGAATGTGATATACCCTAGCAATTTCCTAAAATTTAGCGAACCTTCCCCTATCCCACCCAAGCTCAATTCTCGATAAAATAGGTTTACCCATTGGAAATGGTAATGTTGACTATATTGATAAAGTTTAGCACAATACTGATTAAGTAGTATCGTAAACCCAAAATTACTTATAAGAATTGAGGATAATAATGAAATTTGAAGTGTGGGATCAAAAAGTCTAGACAGACATAGATAAGGGCAAGGAACCCAATCCTTGTAAGTGTTGATAGTGAGCCATGGAAGAATTATATTCAACTTTGGAAGTTTGAGCATAATAAAGGAATGTAATAAAGGTTTTCCTCCACCACTAATGTGAATTAAGTTCTGTATCAAAGTCTTGCAACATGAGCCCATCGCTGTCTGTAGTGGATGCCTGGATGGAATATGACTTGTGCTCTCACCACGAGCCCACGGCAATTGTTTATTTGTGTTTGGACCGCATAATCGTGGCCAACTCTAATATAAAATCATATTACGTAGTATAATTGTATAAAGACTATTTTACATAAGTCTCTATACGAAAAAACGCCTTTATGTAGTACAGATATAGCTTAAGCGGGATTCGGGAAAGGCCTCCATATTACGGAGTACTTTATATTTTTTAATGTGTCTTGTCTATTTTTATTTATTTTTATAGTTTCTTTTAAAAAAAATTTTATTACTACCGAGTATTTATTATTTTATTATTTAATAAAAATTGTTTTATTTATTTTTTATTTTTTAATTTTTTTTGAAATTTAAATATTTTATTATTATTTTTCTGTTTTTATTATAATGTAAAATATGATTATCATATTAAGTTATGACGAGGGTAGAATAAGAAGATAGAGCGTACTTTAGTCCTATTTTGGGATGATAAATAATGTAGTCCTATTTGTGCATTTATATATTAGTTTAGTCCTATTTTGGGGTTATTTTCCCAAAAATATATTAGTGGTGAAATCAAGGTAAGAAAAGAATAAAGGAAATAAATAAGTGTAAGTGAAAAAGAAAGTAAAGTAAAAAGTTAGTACAATGAGAAAAAGAATATGAAATAATACAGGGGAAGAAGAAAAAGAAAGAAAAAATGGAATACATAAACAAGAAAAAGAATTAAAAATAAGAATACGAAGACGAAAAGGGGAATAAAAAGTCTAGACGATTAAAATAAAAAGGGAAAAGTTTTAGGGAGAAAAAAGAAAAATAATATGTGAAACCGCTTGGAGAAGATTTGTAAAATATGAGGTTTATTGTTTAATATTTGCAAAGAAAATAAAAAAAAACTGGAATAACAGGTCGATTATCAACTGGTCAAGGATCAATGAATGAATATGAGGTGCGAAAGTTGAATTATTTCTGAATAACGATTATATGAAACTATTGTAAAAAAATCGTAAAAAAAATTGGATTATTAATTTCCATTTTTCCTAAACCTTAACAACTTGTATACGCATTATAGTCTCTCATACTCAAATGTTCTGGTACTAACTACTAAGCATGAAATCTAACTTTGTTATTATTTTGGTATACCAGATGCAGATGTCACTTGTGAGTTACTATGTACTTCGTATGATTTTTGTGGGTGCGCTCCTTTTAGAGCTGTATGGATGGAATCAATTGAATTTGCTGAAATTGATGAACTTCTAACTGAAGTAGCTAAATCGGTTGAACTTGTTGAGTTCTAGAAGATTTTATATTTAAAATATATTTTATTAATCAAATAAAGAAAAACTATATGAAAATAACTGAAATAGTGCTCTACTGCTCTGTAGTAACTTCAACCAATTTAGTCAGAAAAATAACTTCAACATTACTTACTTTGATCATTATACGACCCCTTAATCAGTATATTATTAATATAATACTTTTCGCGTCCCATTAAGATTCTCTAATCTTTTCATTTATCCATGTTCTGTTAAGATTGTCACATACCAAATTTGATAATATTTGTATGATTATAAATAATTTTTACTTTATTTTTACTTTTTTGAAATTAATATCAACCATTTAAATTCACTTTTTCATAATAATTAAAGTAATTGTCCTAAGTAGGACTAAAACATAATGAAAATTCACTAATAGAACCTTAATTTTTTTATTCTTTAAATAGGACTACATTAGTCCCATGTAAAAACATAATAAAATTTCATACCCTTAATACCCTTCTTTTAATTAATTCCTAGAATTCCATAATTTCCATCCTATTCTCTCTCCTTGCACGATCAATTAGATTTCTCCCTGTGCGTAGGAATAGATCAACTTCTCCGGTTCTCCCCTACAACTTCTCTTCGTGCATCGCAGCCACCGCCGTCACTCCCGCCTCAAGCCGCTGTCGACACTATAGACTTCTTCTTCTTCTTCTTCTTCTTCTTCTTCTTCTTCTTCTTCTTCTTCTTCTTCTTCTTCTTCTTCTTCTTCTTCTTCTTCTTATTCTTCTTCTTCTTCCTCCTCCTCCTCCACTTCCTCCTCCTCCTCTTCTTCCTCCTCCTCCTCCTCCTCTTCTCCGATCTCCTCCTCCTTCCCCTCAGTCTTCTCCTATTCCTCTATTTAAATGAGATTTGCCGCTGATTTTTCTAGTTTTCCTCATATTGTTACGTTTTCCTGGGTTTTGACACTGATTTTGCCAATTTTAGGATTTTTTTTTTGTATTTTCTGACTTTTTGTTTCAGATTTCTTAGTTTTTTTAAAAGTTCTAATTATCCAAAAGTTTGGATGATGGCTTCAGATTTTGCCAAGTTTATGGCAGGAATGTGTACACCAACACCCATATAATGGCAAAAACGCTTTTGTGTAAATCGATTTTGCTAAATTTTTGTCATTCGCCTCGTATATTTAATTTTCGATTATGTTATGGTGCTTATTTCTTTTTCTTTTTTTGAATTTTTGGTTATTGTCTTCATTTTTTGCTAAATTTATGACAGTTTCGTGTAAAACTCCAAGATAAATCTGCCAACTTTATGGAAAATATGAAAAATCTTATTGATGGCAGATTTCAAATACTCTTGAAAGTTAAATCTTCCGACGTAATGGCAGATGTGTGACGTCAAAGCTGTGATGACGGTGGCGGTGCTCGAAGGTGGGGTGGTGGTGCACCAGAGATGGCGGAGGATGCTGACGGCGACAAATTGCAACGCTGGTTGGGCTACACCACTCGACGGCGATGGATGGTGGCACTAGGGAGGGGTTAAATCGGTGGTTGAACATTGCACGATGTTTGCCTTTTTTTTCGAAAACTGCCATCTAAACTAATTAATTAAAAACTAATTAATTATGCTTCAAGGATAAAATTGGTAAAGCAGACCCTTTTAAGTCCTAGGAAACATCACTCACGTTTCTAGTCCTATTTGTGCACATGAAACTAATTTTAGTCCTATATGGGTCATTAACTCTAATAATTACCTTCTTGTGTTACCATGTTAGTGAGAGAGAAGTAGCCATTTTGAACTAAAAATCTCACATACAACAACATGACGTGAATTACACGTATTAATTGAAATTGAGGTCGCTACACACTACAAAAGTTGAACTTAATTTGATGTCTTCTAAAATTTGTTCTCCAAACAGAGCACTTATTGCTAATGTCAATATCACATTTGTCAAATTAATTAAAAGTTGTTCTCTAAACAGACTCTTATTTGCATGTGACGGTTCACCAATTTCACTACCAACTTTTAATATTCCCTCTGGACCATACCTCCAAATCCTTAGGCATCTTATCGTACACGTGCGCTTATTCAAATCTCTAAATTCATAAACTCAGTTTTTGAATGCACTTTTTTATTTAATAAAAGAATGTTGGTACTGGTGAGCATAGTTCAACTGGTAGAAGGGAGTGTTACTATGCTAAAAATGCATAAGGCTTCTGCAAGTATCGGGGATAGAGCCTCACTCTCTATCTGTCAGATTGAGATTATAGTCCAATTTACATCCTCCCAACATACCGTTCGGTCGGGAGTTTATAAAAGAATGTTGGAGTTTCAGACAGTCAAAAAGTCTGATAAAAGTAGGAGAGAATATTCACTCCGTTAAACGTCTACAAAAACGCCAAAAAGGAACATCATTCATAAGCTGAACCTAGTTAATATCACCAAAAATAGAAGAATATGAATCAGTGTGTGATTAAATAGTAAGGAACAATTATAATAACAACAACAATAAGAGTAGAACTAGTCTAACTAAAACAAAATGCATAGGGTTAACCAATTATTGTAATTCCACAGATGCTAAATACAAATTGAGGGGGAGGAAGAGCATCCAATGCTTATTCTTTGCCTTACTCAAAAACATTGCATTATGATGATCTTCTCCACCCACCCACCATTGAACAAAGCTATGTACACATTGGGTGGGTTAATGGAGCAAGAGATGAGAACAATATTGATTGCATGCTATCTGAACTGCCTTGCAAAGCGGCCGGGAACCCTGGGGGTAGGCGCCACCAAGTCTCGTCCTTGTTTAATCATTCCTATCCGATCCTCGATCGTCTTGTCAAAAAGCCGACTCTCGGGATTCTCCGCATAACAAACGTAGTAACAGCTCACACAAGCTTGTGGCACCGCCATCGCAATCCTTGTCTGCCATGTACATGTTTGATTCAATGTTTTAGTTCAGCTAGGAATTTGGTTCAGGATTTGTACATTTGTATTAAACCATTGGCTTAACATGCCCGCAAGATGATGTTGTTTGAACATAATTTGGTTTGATGTCATATTGGTTATACCCTGACAGTTAAACCCGAACAGGAGAAAGAACTCAACCATTCTACATATGTGCATTTGTGTACAAACGGGCATAGGTTTGGTTAATAGATGTTCAATGCTTGAATTAAGCGCTCAATAAAATATGCTCGAAGGTAGGAGTTTAGCTTACACGCAATGGTAGGAATGACAAATTAATCAATTGCTTAAAAGTGAAAGACAACAAAGTTATTAGGGATAAGAGTACATACTAGTTGTCTGCCTACAATGTCGCTTCTGAACGAATTGTTTATGTGGACAGACAACTAGGGGTATACACAATGTGTGTACATGGTATGTGTACTAACATCATTTTTGTATAATTTATTTATATATATAATTTATAAGTACAAAGTATATGATAGGCTTCCGCTATTAGAGCACGATTGGAATAAATATTCAAATTTATTTATATATATAATTTATAAGTACGAAGTATATGATAGGCTTCAGCTATTAGAACTCGACTCGAACACACCTTGCATTCGAGTTTGAGCAGTAATCTCAGCTCGTAAATTGCTAAATCGATCTCAAACTCGAATAGTTCGAAAAAGGTTTTCCGTAAAATAGTGTCACGTTGAACCTAACTTGAGTTCTTAAAATATGTTTTCTAGGCATTTACTACGTACTTATTTGTTCCATGTTCCTACGGGAGAAATTGTCCAATATAGGAGTAAACATAAACATAATTGCATAAATAGGAGTCAAACTTAAAACTTCCTTTAATAGGAGTAAACATTAATTTTGTACCATTAATATCCCTAACCTAGTTAATTCTAAAATCTAAAATATGACTTATTTGATCCCATTAAAAAAATCTAAGTTCATTCATTGGAAACGATACCTTTATGCAGGGCATTTAATTTTAAAAATAATCTAAGTTCACCCCAACAATATTAAAATATTAAAAATTTATTTTTGTAAAAATAAAAAACTTTAAAAATAAATAAAAAAATAGATAAACTGTATTAAAAACTATAAAAAAATTATGCAGGCCTTTCCCGCAGCCTCAGTCATCATCGAACAATGTCACCTCCGATCGGCGAAAAAATGTCATTTTATGTATAATCTGCCATTTTTCTTTGAAAATACCATAAAGATGGCAATTTATTTTACTCTTTGAAAATGCCAAATTTTCTCAAAATCTACCATCTTGATGGCATTTCAGGAAAATGTTGACATTGTTTTCGTTGGTCGGAGCTGGTGGTGCTGGGAGGTTGTTGAGGCGGCGGCAGACGCCTACATATTTTTTTTTTATATTTTTTCATTTTTATTTTTATTTTTTTAATTTTTTTTATTTTTTTATTTTTTTACTTTTTTATTTTGATAATTTTTTATTTTATTGAATACAGAGTATATTTCATTTGATATTTTTAGTTTTTTTACAATTTTATTATAAATTAATTAATCTTACGGAGTATTTCTTTTATGTTTTAATTATTAATGAAAGTTGTTGGGACTTGGGGCTTGAGGCTTTGGTAGGGGTATACTTGTCCAAACACCAAAGTTACTCCTTTTCAAAACATGATACTCCTATTTTTACATTTTGCCTATGTTTTACTCCTATTTGGGGAATTCTCTCTTCTAATGGCGATAGCTTTATTATTTATTCTATTTCTGTTTTTGAAAATATTTTACTATTTGTTATATTCCTAATTTTATGAAAGTTTTACTCAACTTTTCACATTTTATCTTTTTTCCCAAAAAAAACGTTTCATATTTATCTAACTCTTTCTCTGTAAACGATTGATTTGAGTAGTAGTAAGATGAGAAAGACTCACCAAAAGGTACCCAATGTAGGCGGCCAAGAGGGAGAGGGTGGCAGTGAAGTTGCGGTAGACGGCGGCCGTCCAAGCAGCCACCACGATGGCACAGATGGAGCCGCTGCAAATTCCGGTGAGGAAACAAATCGCACTTGTCATGTCAGAATCCACAATCTCCTCCATCTCCCGCCTCTGAAATAGCTCCCATGTGTCTTGCGATGCTCTCACAAAGCTTTTTCCATAAGCAGCAATCTGGGCAAGCTTAAGCAGTTCTTGAAATTGAACTCAATTTTGCAATTTTTAAGGGATCAAACAAAAGTTCTTTATTTGGGAATTCTTAGGCAATGATCACATTACGAACCTGGGTCAACATGTTAATTTAGCTGAAATTGGTCAAAAGGGATGAAATAATGAAACTACGCCTGAAAAAGTTTAGAAGTGCAATTTCAACAAAAAAAAAGTGTTTCAAAGATGATGGTTAAAGACTCAAGTGTCATTGACCTTTCTTTCAGAGAAAGTATTTAACTTTGGCACCATTTTCCAAGTTATTGTCTGTTTCAACTTTCAACTACTTCTCCTTTGAAACACAGTCAAACAATTTATGTAGTATTTTTAATACAAAATCTGACTGCTAATGACCCATAAACCATGAAATATAGGTACCAAATGGGTTTTACAAATTACCGTCACATATAAGTATATGTGATACAAGTGATAAGATTGCGTACATGTGACCCCTTTACCACATCGTAGGTGGGAACCTCTGCGGCATCGGGGTAATGATGATGGATGATGAGTGAATGATTGAATACAAGTATATACAAAACATTTGAGACAGGTCAATGGCCTCAATGGAGCAAAAACATTGGGAAGTCATATACACACCTAGAAAAAGGTCACCATAAAATAAGTAGCATGCCCAAAACCATTTTTGTTGATTATTATGGAGTAATCTATTACTCAATGCTGAAGTACAAAGAAAAGAACTAAGGAATCAAGAAACGGGAGTACCTGAACGTACGCCCAACCATTGCCACGCTTGAAAATGGAGTCCATGAGTTTGAGTCCGCAACGAGCACAACAAAACATGAACTCGTCTTCCCCCTCCAACAAATTCAAACCGCGTGCCACGACCCTAAGAGCCTCAATAGTAGGTACAAACACGGAACCAAGGGAAGCGCTCCCAAGATTGTTAGACAAAGCTCTTTGGAAACAAAACTTCGTACGCGATTGCATTCCCCTAAGGTAATAGAGGGAAACAACCCTACTAACCGTCAAGTTCACCACATTCCTCATCACCTCAGTGATCCAAGCCATGCTCAATACCATTACAATGATGACCAATGGGGGGAAGTAGAAGTTTATGGCGCCTACAATGGCCAAAACCCAAAATGACATCCAAACAAACCCCGCTCCAAGCATCCAATAAGTGGGCTCATTCAGGTCCCCAAATTTAGGAACCGGGTCGAGAGCCTTGATCATTATTTTACAGAAATAGCTTGTTCTTGGTGTGACCCAACAAGAATACAGCCCGTTCCCAATTGCAAAGAAGATGAAAATGACGCCTAATCCATCCGTGGACGGTCTTTGGCAACAAATGAGGAGGATCCCGGCTGCTAATGTGAGGATAAAAGAGCTCCAAAGAATGAAATGGACCATGAATTTAGGCCACATTCGGAATCCCTTTTGCCATAAGACAGCAAGGGTTATGCTTAGAAAACTTGCAGCTTCCACTTGGGGAAGGAAATACTTCAAAAGTCTTTCCTCTTTTATCTTGGATTCCCCTGCTTCTAATAGGCCTTGAACTCCCTTATATACAAGAAACCCCACTAACCCAATTGCCCCAATCAGATGCACAAGAAACAGAATCAGTGAAAACTTGTTTGTGTATGATCTTGAATTCAGTGTAATTGCTGAAGGTTGCTGCTAGTCAAATAAAATGGAAAAGAAGAGAAAAAAAAACTTTAAGGACCAGTTTGGTAAAAGTTATGTTTTCTGTAAGGATAAAAGTATCTCTTAACATCAATTTCAGCCAAATGGAGCCAAACAATAAGATCCGGTTACCCAAAAAGCTTAAAAAGTGAACTTCATTATGACTTACTAGGGGGGCAACCGTAACGGTTGGGATGGAACGTGGCTGAGAAGATGGAGGCGGAGGGGATGAAGGGTGAGGCGGCGGTGGCGGTGAAGGAGTTGTGAAAGGCGGCTGAGAAAGTGGAGGAGGAGGAGAGGAGCGAGGCTGCTGAGCATGAGAACGGCGAGGCTGCTGTGAAGCAGGAGAAGGCGAGGCAACTCTGACGGCATTGTCCATAACAAGCCTGAGAGGATTGGTAGCACTAAGCCTTTGCATTCTTGCCATGTGGAAATCTTGAGTCGCCGGCGGCGGATGTTGCGGTGGGAGGTGGTGGTTGTCACTCCGGCCTTTTCCTTCAAACCCCATCTCCCCTTTCTCCACATCTCTAACTCCATCTCCCCTCTCTGCATCTTTTTCTCCCTCCTACACAAAACACAGCAAAATCATGTCGTCCTAGCTTGTTATTAAAAAGATGCAATCTTTGCGGAGAATATTCAAGAAGAGGAGTACTCACATGTTCTGTGGCACCCATTGCTACGGTGGATGGAGGCGGCGCGTGGATGATGATGAGTGGTGGAAGGGAGTTTAGATTTTGTTGCTACGTGGTGGCTGATGTTTCAAACATTGCTATCAGCCTTTTACCTCTTACCTCAGAGACGCACAAACTAAAATGTCTGTGCTCTTCACACGCGCAGACTAGGCCGCGTGAGGGGGACGGCCCAATGGCAACGTGCACGAAACAGTTTCGACTTCGTTGATGGAATTGCGTGCTTGGAATTATTAATAAGTTGCGTTACTTGTGGAGAAGAAGGACAAGTCAAATTGAAGATATTAACGGTCATGATGAACCGTTTAGATGTTGAAATGACCAGATAGATGGGATGAAGGTAAATTGAACTTTAATAGTTATCAGATACCTTCGTACTTGGAGAAGCCCTATACATTTTAATATAAAATTCTCTCATTGCAGTTGTCGGGATTCAAACTCAAAACCCTCGTATGATCGATGGGATGAATGTAAATTGAACTTTAATTTAATCATAGACTGGCAGATAGAGAGTGAGACTCCACCCTGATACTTCCAGAATCCCTATGCATTTTAGCATAAAACTCTCTCATTGCGGTTGTCGGAGTTCGAACCCAAGATTTACCCCTCGTATGACCACGTTATTATTGACTCCATGAAGGGAAGTAAAAAAATTGTGTGTTTGGTGTGGGACCCGCTTAAACCCTCAAGTGTGTGCTGCTTTGCTGGCCGTGTAAGGCACAGCATCTTCTGGTCTAAGTCTGTATAGGCGTAATAATGAACATACGCATACAAATCTTATTGGAGCATGACTCACATGAAAATGACATTTTGGTTTTTTATTTGGTTTGTTTGAAGTATTTGGTTTGATGGATATACTTATACTTTTATACGTAAAATCTTATTTTGTTTAAGAATTATTATCATTCATGCTAGATTTTTTTTAATTTTGCTATCTCGCAAAAAAAATCGTTTTAAAATGAGATTTTGTGGATTTTTTATTTAATACACTCCTTCAAAGTTCATAGGAAGATACTCCGTATGTAAATTTATTTGCTAAGATCGATAGATACATAATTAAAGCTTCCCCGTAAATAGTACTACCTCCGTCTCGTTATGATTGTCGCGTTTTACCTTATCGGTCTATCCCACTAAGATTGTCTTGATGGATAGTGTACCCGGGGATAGCTTATCCGGGGGTTATTGCGGGAAGTAACAAGAGAGAAGTCAGAGCAAGTAAGTATAGAGAGAGAAAGTGTATTCAGAAAGTATGCAGCGTTTATGACTTGGTTACAAATGGGGAAATGGAGTGCTATTTATAGTAGCAATAAATGCCGGACAGGGACACGTGTCAAGCGCCCATTGACCGAGAGGTCACCTCAACTGGTTGGCGCTGGCAGCCGCATGTGGCCGCATTTAATGCGGCTGTTGGATGGGACGTTGTACAGAGTACGGTGATCTGTACGCATGTGGCGCGGATATTATGTCGGGAGAGGTGCCATCGGCTGCAGAGGACTAGCCGAGGGCTCTGAGTGCCGGGGACCCCCTAGGTGCCGAGGGCTCCAGGTTGCCGAGGGCTACTGTTTTCTGCCGTTTTTCTCCCAGTTTCTTAGTTTGCTTGAAAAACCTGTTATGTGAGAATTTTTTAGCCTTCGGCCAGGGGGCCGAAGGCTCCCCAGTGTGCGCTGTGGGCTGCTAAGTGCTTGGGGCGCCGTAATTTGGGGCCTGCTGTGCTTCCTGGGCCGGTTGGGCCTTTATTGGTGTAGTAGGAGTCTGTGGGCCGGGGGTTCCCGGGCCATATACTCCATCAGGAGTCCCTCACTCCTTTTGCCGAAAGGTACTTGAGGGAAAAGGAGTAATTTGTGCTTGCCCTTTGATGTTGTCCCGTTGTAATCTCTGAAGTTGGTGAGGAGTCGTTGTTTTCATGTCCCTGTCGAAGCCAGTCCCTCAGTTACCCACATGTCGGGACTTGAGGGATTGCTTGGCTGTTTGTTGGAATTTTTCACCATTTTGTATTTTAATGATTTTCCTGAGGGGGTCCTCCAGTCCCCCACTCCTTGAGGCACTTGTAAAGTGGTAAAAAGGAGTAGAGTAGTTTGCGCTGCTGTTGTGGGCCGAGGGCTGACGCTTTTCGTTTCATTTTGGGGGGATGCCTCGTTAAAAACCTGTTTAGGAAAAACCCTGGGGAAAAAATCCTAATGAGGGAAAAAGAGTGCACCGAATTCCCCCAACGATGAATCGAAAATGTGAAACCTTGGTCAAAAATGGAGAATAATGGTAATGCCGAAGGCTCTCCTTGTTCTGAGGGCTCATGTGTTGAGTAGCCGGAGGCTTGCTGTTGATGTCCTGGGAGGTGCCGAAGGGGAGCCACTTGATCTGGGGATCGAGGGCATGATGGATGAGGGCAGTAGTTGAATTGTTACCGGGGTGTCCCCTGCTTGTTGATTAGTTGGTGAGGAGGATATCCGAGGGCTCCCATTACCGGTGTGCTGTAGGCTATCCGTCAATGAGGCATACTCCCCGGGGGCTACCCGACCCTTACAGTGCTGAGGGGGAATCCTCGAGGGGTGGCCTGATATGAAGCCTTGGGCTTCTGAAGGAGTGATCTCGAAGGCGACTGTTGTGTACTGTGTGGGGCACAACCCGGGGGCGTCTCTGGGTAAGTGTACCCGGAGGTTCTTCTTGATGTAGTGGAGTGAAGTAAGAAAATCCGGGGGCTCCCAGAATATAGCCGTTGGAAATATAGCCGTGGGAATATGTAACATCAGGATATAGCCGTTGGGGGGGGGGGGTACACGTGGCGCGTGATGGTTGGCTGTCCGTGGGCGGCGTCACCGGTTGGGCGAAGACACGGCGTGTAATGATGACGGTCCATCCGGAGGCCCAGTTTCCAGGCCCAAGCCCGGATTCCAGTGCCTATAAATACCCCAAGGCCAGGCACTCCTCCTTGTGCGAAACCTTGTTAGCGAAGCTCTGCCAAATTTTTCCTAGAGAGAGAAACAGCAGCCCTCGATCAAACTCTAATTCCCAGGTCAGTTCTCCACTCGCCCTTCACCTCTCTAGTTAGCTGTCTTGTGCCCTTAGGCTAGGAGATAGAATTTTTAGAAAACACTAGCGTCTACGAGCCTTCGAACCAGAGCCAGAATGTCGTCCCAGAGTGATTCTCAAGACATCTCGGGGGCGCCCTCGATGGAGGATGAAGTCCTCTCGGACGTGGAGTCCTCAAGTGCACAGTCTTCGGTGGGACAGGATGCCGCCGTCGCCCTGGAACTGCAGAAAGCCCTCGTTGCTGAGGTGGAAGCCGAGGGCTCGAGCAAGAATGTGAGGATGAAGAGCTGGCCCTAGCCTGGCAAGCAGCTGAAGAGGAGGCGCAAAGAGAAAGCGCGAGGGTCACCGTTGCTGTGCTCCCCCCTCGGGGTGCCGGTGAGGCCAGCACCTCTCGGCCGCTGAACGCGGTTCCCATCCGGGTGGCCCCCGGAAAGAAGAAGGCCAAGGTAGCTGCTCCCAAGAAGAAGGGCAGCGTTGCAGATCAAGGGAAGCCCCTCGATATGCTCGAGGGGTACTCCTACCTGAACACTGCCGCCTTGTAAATAAGGTCGAAGGTTGATGCGGCGGACATCTACGTTACTCAGCTTCACGTGGGCCCCTCGGCCATCGTGGTGACACCGGGCCCAGAACCCTTTCCTCGGTGTCCATGGGGCTCCGCTTCCCCCTGCACCCTTTCCTCCGGGAGTACCTCCGGTTCGTGGGTCTGGTCCCCTGCCAGCTGACCCCGAACAGCCATTCCTATATTACTGGCTTCCTCCAGCTCTGCAAATCCCAGGGGGTGACGCCTAGCCTGGACCTCTTCTTCCAGAGCTTCAGCCTGTGCGGGGGGGGGCATGCGAATGCCGAGGGCTTCGCAAACTTGCAGCAGGTGGCAATGTTCAAGCTCATCACTGAGGCGCCCTCCTCGAACAAGGGGTGGAAGGACCGGTGGTGTTACGTGAAGCTGAACGAGAGCCCCTTCCCGAGGGAGTTACGTGACCGTTTCAGGAGGCACGAGAAGAGGAGGAGCGCCGCCCTCGAGAAAGACGGCAGGTTTCTGGCCATGATCCCGGAGGGCCGTGACAAGAATATCACCATTAAGGAGTGCACCAAATAGGGAGATCTCTACACCCTCGGGTTCCGGAGGTATCGCTTCCTGGGGGAAACAGATGAGAAGTTCCCGGTGTTTGAGGGAGCCTCCGGAGGTAATGGCTGAGGGCACTCTCAACTTCGTATCTTAGCACATAGTTCATTCGCTTGTTTGTTTCTCTTTATGCCACCTGTTAGTGACCCCTCGATCTTAACCCCATATTGTTTTTGCAGGTGTCAATATGGACCTCTACGCCTTCGCCAACCTCAAAAAACAGAAGGTGAAGGTGCCGGGCCAGAAGGAGCCCGTAAAGTAGAAGCCCCTCGGGGAGGTGAAGAAGGGCGGTGAGCCCTCGGGGGAGGCCGCAAAACGGAAGGCCGACGGCAAGGCCCCAATCCCCGAGGGGAAGAAGCAAAAAAAGGGGGACGCCGGGAAGAAGGCTCCCCTTGTGTTGGTGGTGGACGAGCATTCCGCCTCGGAGCCCAGTGCTCCGACTGCTCCTTGCCCGCCCTCGGGTAAAGGTGGCGAGGTAAGCTTGCCTCGGGAGGACATACAGTTCTCCCTGCCGAAGGGGTCTGCCATCACGCATGGCACAGTGGACCCCCGGGAATTTCTGGGCGGGGCTACACCCGCTCTGGACAGGCGGGCCCTCGGGAAGATGGATGATGAAGCCCTCGAGTCCAAAATCCTCCGGTCCTCTCTTACCGTAAGTTCTCCTCCTTCCTCTTTTCTTCTTTCTTTTTCCTTAGCATCGTGGCCCATGACTTTATCTGTTTGTGTGATCATAACTTTAACCCCTTGCTTTGTTCTTTGTCTAAACAGGCTTGCATAGCCCTCGGCGAACACGCCAGGAGGTTCGACGAGTGGCGCCTCTAGAGGGCGCAACAGGAAGAGTCCCTCAAGAAGCTTATCCATGATAATGCCGAGGCCGTGAGGCAGATGGCTCAACTGGAGAGGGACCTCCAGCAGGCGAGGGCGGAAGCAGAGAGAGCGGCCAGGGAGAGGGTGGAGATGGAGAAGGCGGCTGCCGAGGCTGCGAAGAAGGCCTTTGAAGATGCCGAGGCCGCCAAAGCAGAGGCCGTCGCTGCTGCAGTCGCTGCCTTCATGACCGAG